CCTTTTAGCAAGTACCTAGGCTGTTAGTATGGTAAGTTACAACGTCAAAACTACACTTTTCATAAGGATACTGGATACAATTTTAACACTGGGCTGTTCGTGGGATAATATACGCCTGCTAAATTGGTTGGCTTCTGAGAAGTCAAAAATCGGACGATATAGCATACTGGAGGGGCAAAGGGACTAAGAAGACAATAACTGAGGGCAGTTAAGAACAAGGACGGAAAGGTCGACTGTTTCAGACTTATGCATATTCACTGACGTTCCCATGCTCCCGATAAGAATTTGAGGCCAATAACACTGCGTACAAACTACGCAGTCTGTCAGGCAACTGCCGACCTGTAATGGACTGCCGACTATCGTGGCGGCTACTTCTGTTTTCGCAATCTTGTCGGTGGGTTCTGCAATCGGCAAAGGAGTATCTGGCCGCATCTTTTACAGTGCGGTGATGATCCCCATGATCCCTGAGATCTCCTCCCCGTTTCGACCCCTCTCTCACATCCCCATGAGCGACAATTTTTTCTCCTAAAATCCCAAGGAGTGTTTTCTTTATTGTCTGCCCTTAGTTCCTTTGTTCTATCTAATTGGCTCGTTGCATATGGTATCGCCAAGAAGTTCAGATACTATTTTTTGATATCACAAAACATGTAAAAAAACAGAGAGTTTAAAAGTAGACGCCTGCATTTCCCTAAAATTGAACTGAACTCAATCATCACCTGGATGCCTTAGAGGCACGGGCAAGAAAACATATCATGTTGGGTTACAAGGAAATGGCTAGAGATCACGACGAAATAAAACTTAAAAAACCAACTCGGACAGTAAGCAGTGACTAGGCTAGAGGTAGTATGCATGCTTGCATGGAGCCCAATTCCCTCGCGACATTAGCAAAGAAGGCTGATGTCAGCAGGATACAGAATGAACATCTATAAAAAGTAAAGTAAACAAAAATAAAAAAATAATCGGTTCAGACGATGGAGGCGTAGACTTCGGCCTTCAGGCTTAATACCATGCCTGAGAATTGTCTGACAACGCCGCCAGGTGGCACACGTGAAATACCGACAGATGAGGATCGGATAATCCAAACTGGTTGATCAGGACACAATTCGTACTTCTACCCAATGGTGATGTTACCTAGGAAAGGAATCGGCATATGCCAGTCACACAAGTGAAAGAACCAGCATCTCAAACAATCCCATAGCTGAAAAGCGGTATGGCACGCAAGGAAAGATTTGAGAAGTTTTGTTACACACTCCATTTCAAGAAACCGGGTCCGAAACTTGTTCGCAAAGCATAAGCAACTGAATCTTGTCTGAGCTACTTAAATAGTTGATGTCAATCCTACTGAAAAGCGTCTGTCCCTGTCTAACATTCGTAAATTAAGTGCAAAGATCGAAGCGACGACTCGACCCCACCTATCACTGCCTGCTTTGATCTACGCAACGTGATCGATATTTGATACCAGACCGTCGTCATTCTTCCATGATAAGATCCACTAGAGCATGCCAGATTACGCGACTGTTCAATGGAGGAACCTTAAAACGTCCGCCGACCAGAACAAGCCAGGATATTTGCGAGCTGACTGATACCACGTTTTCAGGTATGAGGGCACAGTATGCAAACCCTCAAATGAATGCCCGGAGGAATCAAATGACGTGTAGATTTTGAGGGGGATGGGGAGGGGGGGGTACCACTAACCTGAATGTCAGAGAGTGAAGGTCTACTCGCCGATGGCTTGCAAACAGCGACTGAAAGGCCCTCTGTAGGGCCACTGAAGATTGGTGAAGGAGGTTCAGTTGCGGGTTTGGAGTCCTCCTGGGGTTGTTCTTCTTGGCCTGCTTCGGACAACGAGGTTTCGGTTCCTTTCTCTCCCTCTTCGCGCTTATGCAGTGCTAAAGGAAGAAAATAAACATCGTGTAAGTAGTGTGGTGAGTCTGTAAAATAAAGCACATCATGAAACAGTCCCCAGCAAGAGCTGAATGAGTGTGTACTGAGAATAACACTTTGGAGCATTCTGGTCCATTTACAGCACAAGGAAGTTCTTGCCAATCGGTTTGGAAAGTTTACACAACAGTTGAAAAAAAGCTGCCTGATGCACAAGTGTGCATTCCCAAGGCTACAATGCGTTTAATGTGGTTACCTCGAAAGCCAAACATGAAGTGGTGGGATTCGAATACTTGTGACGAGCACAATACTTTTTACGGAGGAAACATTGCAAAGTAGGAATAATAAAGACCTCTCATTTCACTTAAGCCTTTGTCATACTGAGGGCGTGAGAGAGGAGATTTCTGGGTAAGGTAAACACGTTGGAGGAGTGACGGGTCGTTCCAAGAGATGTTTGCTTCGCTAGGTCCTTTACCAGCCCTCAGAGCTCTTCTGCGGCACCAGCGGGGT